TTTACAAACATTAGTATTTTGTTATGTCAGTAATATCCTGTTGATTCATTTTGGTAGCTTTCCGTTTCTCTGGGTCTCTTTAATCATACTTTATCAATTTATCTAAATTTTAAAGTTTTTGCAGAATGGTGTAAAAATTCCTGAATAACTAGATAAGTATCCTAGTAAAACATTATCTTTTCCCATCGCATTATCTTTTTGTGCAATGGAATAAGTGCTGTGATTCTGAATCATGAAACAGGCGTAAACTGCATTGGTTAAAAATACTTTGAATGTTGGCTCTCTCACCCTCTGCATTTTTGGAGCAAATTGCTTTTTCAGGCCGACAGCAGAATATGAAAATTCCTTATACATCCTGTGCTTCAGCACAGCTTCTGAAGTGTTCCTTTCTTTGGCAATTCTAATGAAAACACAGGAGGGAAAAAGTGACTTTTCTGTTCTTTCCTGTCAGATAGTACTTGCTTCTTGTATAATGAACACTTTATAGTGCAAGAGACACCTAAAGGGTAGGTAGAACTGCTGATTCCCCTTTCCTGGTAATTTAGTGCAAAATCAAATGTTTTAGAGTGGCTTTCCTTCCTTGCATGCCCCAGCCACTCTGTCCTGTTATGTGGTTAGCTATATTTAAGCAAGAGATACTTGTAAAATTTGGGTGAAGTCTGCCCTCACCACCCCACCCCCAGCCCTGCCACCAGCTTTGGAAAGTTTAAACCTGAAGGCAGCCGTCAGGTTTCTCTTCTTTTCAACATGCCCCTTGCATTCTCTGCCCCAGTTCTCCCAGTGGGTTCTTGACACCCAATCAGAGGCTCAGTCACATTTGTAATAACTGTAAAAGTAATTAATGGTTACTGTTTTCAATCAAGCAGTAGGGTGGAACATTCAAGTCACTTTCTTATTTCAGGTAAAATGTGAGATATGAGGCAAAACAAGTTGAGCGAGCCAGTAAGAATGGGTTATCGGTTCTCTGGAAGGAAGATTTTTCTCAAAACTTGGAGGGGAGTGGGTGTGAATTGTCAGTGTACCTATGAAAATGTGGTCCCGTAAAAGGGTCGGGAGTTTCTGTGAGTGTGTGGTCGGTCTTCCCGTGGGCACCCCCGCTGAGCTTCATGCCATTTACTGGTGGTTTGGTTGGGGAGTGAGTTTCTACTATTTGTGGTTTTCTGTTGTGGAGACCACTGAATCTTAAGAAGACATATTGAAGAAACACTAGGACACCTTGGAGCCATTCACATACCTCTCACGTGTGCAGGAATTCATTGGAGAACTTCAGGATTCTCCTGATTATTCCTTGAAGAGCTCAATGTCTAATGAATCAGTGGTTAAAAGATTTCTTGGTTTGATAATCTTTTTTTATGAAGTGCTCACTATGTGTCATTCATTTTTAAAACATTCACTATTAATTTTGCCCCGAGTGAAAAACCAAAGGACTGGTTTTCAAACTGTACATGGTGAAGCCTTTGGCTTCTGTGGTGATGCCTGGGAAGCGGCTGAGGGAAAGGTCAACGGACCTGGCTGGGGTCTCTCACTATTGGTTCAACCAGCACTAGTTTACATTCTCTCTTTTATATCGTGGCAGTTTACTTGAGATTTTTGTTTTCATAAAATTCCATTGCTTTAAAAATATTTGAAAGCCATCACTTTAGGGAATTGGTGTTAGTGTACACAGAAAAATAAATCACTCCTTTTTGAAGGATCGTTTTGGATTGTTCGCATCTCAAGAGATGAAATATGCGACTTCTTTCCTCTATCTCACTGAGTCACAAGTGCTGCCTCGATTGGAATGCTTGGAATTTTTTTTTTTTAACCAAATACGTCTCTGCTTTGTAAAAAGTATTTGTCATAAAAATATTTTTATATATAAAATACATATTTTAAATTTTTGTATATATATTTTAAACCACTTTATTAAGATGTGATTTACAGACAAAATGCTGTACATATTTAACATATACAACTTGAGTTTGGAGACAAATATATGCCTGTGGAACAACATAATGCCTATAATTAAGAATGCTGTATTGTATACTTAAAATTTGGTAAGAGGTAACTTGTGTTAAGTTTTCTTATGACACACACACAAAATAATGATAAATAAAGAGGGCAGGAGGAAATTTTCAGAGGTGATGGATGTATTTATATTTTTATAACTTTGATTTCATAGCCCATAGGCATGTAACTCACAAACTAAGGAGTAAAAACATATGTATATGGCGAGAGACAAGATTATCTTCCCAATGGCCTTGATTAACACAGTTGCTAGTCCTGCCTTCAAAAGAAGACCATTTCTAAGAAATGCATTCTAAGAGGTATTCAGTTGTGTCTTCATTTTTCTAGTACATTAAAAATTTGGCCTGTTTAATGTCGTCTTCTAAAAAATAATATAGGTTGAGACTGTGAGAATTAATTGACTTTCTTGAAGAATACCTAGACCTCTTGCTAGACTGGAACAACAGGATATTCACAGCAGCTTCCTGCAAATGGGCTCTTAAGTGTAATTGACGTCTGTGGTGTGGGATGGTTCTGGCCTGTGTCTTTTCCCATTTTTCTTATTCAGGAAGCTTTTACTGGCTACATTTCTTTTTGTTCTTTGACTTGGGATTTCTCTTTTTGAGGGAGAAGATAATTTAGAATATATTGTATGAGCACTGTTGAGAAAACAGAGCTGAGGGGACAGTAGTTGGAGAAGGTTGATAAGATTATGTGTGCTATGAACTGGGCAGTCTTGGAGAAATAAATAGTGGTTTAAGCATAAACTGGGAAGACGGGAGAGGTAAAATCGTTCATTTTTACCCACAATCGACCCTAAAGAGAGATTTTTTTTTTTTGAACTTCAAAATTCTGAATTTGATGTGCAGGTTAATTTGAATTTAATTTGCTGTTAGGTAATAGCTCATCAGTAGTTAATCAAATAAGAACACCAGGTCTTAAACTTTATTGGGCCTTTCTCAAGAAGTATATACGTTGTTGGGGCCGGCCCTGTGGCCAAGTGGTTAAGTTCGCACGCTCTGCTTCGGCAGCCCAGTGTTTCGTTGGTTCGGATCCTGGGCACGGACATGGCACCGCTCATCAAGCCATGCTAGGCGGCATCCCACATGCCACAACTAGAAGGACCCACAACTAAAAATATACAACTGTGTACTGGGGGGCTTTGGGGAGAAAAAGGAAAAATAAAATCTTTAAAAAAAAAACAAAAAAAATACGAAGTGATATGTTGGAAGCCAGTCCTTGGTGAGCTTCCTGTTGTTTGTAATCAAGCCTTCTGGTGTTCAGGGAGTAGGTCAAAAACCTTAGTCTTCAGGTTAGTACACTTAGTAACTTTTGACTCTTTCTGGCATGACATTAAGAAAGTGTAGTTAGAGCTCAGATTTTTTTTCATTCCATCTAATCCAATTTGTTTTTCCCTGCCTTGTTTTAGTACTTTTGTACCTAAATAATAAGACTTATGTCATTCTGGTACTCTGCAGCAAATGCTGAACATGTAAACTAATTCTTTTGCCCAAAAATTGGGAGGAAAATAGTCTGGATCTTGTGTGTGGGGGGGTATTTACAATTATTTCTATGGCAGAATTTATTGAACTTGGCTACACTCTTTTAAGATTCTAAAACCTTTAGGATTTTGCTTTTATTTAATCAGAACTTGAAACTTCTTAATGTGATATAAAATATGTACAAGAAGATTATTTTCGCAATTACTTTTACCTCTTTTAAAGGTAAATATTCTGAATAAAAACAATCTAGTGGAAGGGTTTCACTTATAATTTTTCTTTTTTGGGGGGAGGTGAGGAAGATTGGCCCCAAGCCAAGATCTGTTGCCAGTCTTCTTCTTTTTGCTTAAGGAAGACGGTCAGTGAGTCAACATCTATGCCAATCTTCCTCTAGTTTGTATGTGGGATGCCGCCACAGCATGGCTTGATGAGTAGTGTGTAGGTCCATGCCCAGGATCTGAACCTGTGAACCCCAGGCCGCCAAAGTGGAGCATGTGAACTTAACCACTATGCCACTGGGCCAGCCCCTCAGTTATAGTTTTTATTTTTTGGTATAGAAATATCCTTTCCTATAGTCTTGCTATGTGTGGAGATAAGTTTTATTCCTGTACAGCTTCAGTGAGTTTAAGGATTGCTGGAGTCATGAACTTCATCTGTCTCTTTTTTCCTCTCTCTCCCTGCTCCATCCCTCCATATAATACCTCTGTTGTGAGACAGCTTTAGTGTAATGGAACAGGCACTGGGCTTGGCCTCAGAAGTTGGAGGTTTTGAGTTTTGCTCTTCCATATACAAGCTCTGAGAACTTCAGTGGACTGCTTAACTTCTGAGGACCTCAGTTCATCTATAAAATGAAGAAAATAATCATTGTGCCACATTTTGCTTATCCATTCATCCACTGACGGACGTTTGAATGGTTTCTACCTTTTGGCTATTGTGAATAATGCTACTGTGAACATTGGTGTGCAGATATCTGTTTGAGTCGCTGTTTTCAGTTCTTCTGGGTATTCACGTAGAAGTGGAATTGCTGGATCATATGGTAATTCTTTGTTTAACTTTTTGAGTGACAGCCTGCTACTGTGAACATTGGTGTGCAGATATCTGTTTGAGTCACTGTTTTCAGTTCTTCTGGGTGTTCACGTAGAAGTGGAATTGCTGGATCATATGGTAATTCTTTGTTTAACTTTTTGAGTGACAGCCTGCTTTTAAGTATTTTTTGAATCTGTTGAATTGATTATAACAGTGTGCCTCCTAAATAGTGTGTTTGTTCATAGTGTTCTTTTAATTCCCATAGTTTACATGTTAGGAATCAGAACAGTGAGGTCACCTTAAATATCAGACTCCAGGAACACCTGGCCAGGGTGGCAAGCTTTCTAGCCAGTGCTTCTCAGAAATGCATTCATTGTGTGCTTAGAGATCTTTGAAGGTGAGGATTTGCTCTGCTGGTGCCCAAATGTGTTGGTTAAACAATGGCTGTATCAATGGATGTAATATTTTCGGCTTTGGACCTTTCTATAGGGGTTGAGGAGACTGAAGAAGGCGGAAGACAGGCTGATGGGCTCAGCCGGTAGGCTCCAGTATCTCACCATGACTGCTGAAAATTCGACGCCAGGAGACCTGGCTCTGGCCCCCCTCGTCACTTGCAAACTCTGCCTGTGTGAACAGTCTCTGGACAAGATGACCACACTCCAGGAATGCCAGTGCATCTTTTGCACAGCTGTAAGTTTTCTTTGGTGCTTTCATCATGAGAACATACAAAGGGAAGAATTATAAAAGTACAGGATACATTTCTGTAGCTTACTGAGAAGCCAAGGTTTGCTACAATATGATCCTGCTTTGGAGAGCAATTCCACATTTGGATCTGTTTCCAAATAGTATCTTGAATGGTAAATCCAATATTTACTAGTTTTTAGTCAAAGTGTAATCTGTGTGTGAAATTTAATTGTTGGTTGAATAAGCAGAGTCTTTCTTTTCTTAAAGTTCTAGCTAAGGAACAAAAGAGACATTTTTAACATGCCTTAGTTAACTACTATCTGTAAGAAGCTGATCAGGTATTTTGAATGATGGAGAAATCAGGTAGCAATTTACGTAATTTTCTTTTATATACTTGCTCATCTCCGCAAAGCACGTGGCGTACAACTGTTTTACTTTGTCGTGTCTTCTTTTTTTTCTCCCTGTTTTCACAATATGCTGAGTGCTGCTTATTCCTCATAATAACCCTACAGATCTCCAGGGGTGGGCTTGTCTCTGTTAGTCTGACCCTTGGCATCAATGCCCATGACCTTTATTGCACGTTTCCCTAAAGGTCAGTTGGTTAAGGTATAAAGCTAGGAAACAGATTGATGATGAATTCAAAGTGACTACTAGAAGTGTGAACCCAGGTGCTCTTATTCAAATTTTCATTTCTTCAAATGTTTTTTGAGCTTCTGTCATGTGCCAGACACTCTGCTGGATGTCGGGAATATAAAGATGCATCAGGTACTTCCCACAGGGAAGATGAACACCATGAAGGAACTGTGCAAGAGTTTGGTGAAGCAGGCATGGCTCAAGGTGGCATACCACAGGAGTGTCTCACCATGCAGGTGGTGGAGGTGGGAGGGGCTTCCTGGCAGCTGTGAGCTCCAACTGAGGCTTTGAACAAGAGTTTGCAAACTGATGCCCCTGGGCTAAGTCTGGCCTCAACACATTTTTGTTTGGATCCCCAATCAGGAAATTTAAAATGACAAATTTTATAAATTTTTCATGAAAAGATGAAAAAGTGGTAAGATATAGCTAGTCTGGGCCTGCATTCATAGGCCCAGAAATAGATGACCCTTCCTCTATTTGTAGCACCTGCCTCTCTCCTGTATGTATTTAATCAGTTATACTTTTAAACTAAGGATGGGTTAAGAGTCAGCCAGAAGAGTGCTGGGCATCTCAGCGTTGTAGAGGGGAGAGCCCAGTGCCTAAATTACAATATTTACCATTTATCTTTTCTTTGGTAGGCCTTCTATTTGCGGAGTGTTAATAGTTATTTTACAGTAAGTACAATAATCACCAGACAAATGTGGGTTTAATCTCCTGACTTGTAAAGGAAATTGAATAGTTTAGTTACAGTGATCAGTGCTTAAATCAAGGAGAGTAAGGAGAAAGGAATCATTTAGGAAGTGGAATTGTTTATAAAGAGGCATGTTTACTAAGCATACTTTTTTAAAAAAACAGATAAAGTGAAATAAATTTTATTCCATCTCATTTGCTAGTTAATCAACATGATGCATTTTCAAGCTAGTTTATATCAATTTTCTTAAAAAAATTTTTTTTGGTTAAGATTGAGATAGAAGACTTGAAATGATTTTTAGGTAAAAAGGAAAGTGACTAAAATCCTTTTCTATGTTTTGAACTCTAGGATCCGAAGATAGAAAAGAATAGTATTATTTATCCATTCACCCTACAAATATCTAGTGAAGCAGCAACTGTGTCCCAGAAATTGTTCTAGGCACCAGGATTATTCAGTTAAAGAAACAAAACCCAGCAGAGATCCTTGTTCTTAGGAGCTTATGTTCTGTTGAAGGAAGTTAGAAAATAAATATAATAAATAGGTAAGTTAAATAGTAGTGGGCAATAAGGGCTTAGAAAAAAGGAGAGCAGGAGGTTAGGAGTGTGGGGGAGGGGGTGTTGCATTATAGTAGGGCGGTCAGGAGGAAGCCTCACTAACTAACATTTGTGCTGCATCTTCCTCGTCTTGTCAGCGTGTGTTGCTTTATAGGAAGTGAGGAAATGGCCTTGTCATCCAGGGGTGGCTTCAGTTTCCTTTGGTCTTGCTTTGTTTCTTGACGCTGTGCTTCAAAACAATTATTTCTCTGACTTTCTCACATGCGTTTCGGACCTTTGTTAATCCTTGAGACAAATGAGTCAGAAGCAACATTTAGTTCAAGCCAGGATGGAAATTTTTGTCTGAGGGTTACTGATGTTTAAAAGCTGGATATAGAATTCTGTTTTTGCAATGAGATTTAATGGTGTGGAATTCAAATATGTGCCTCAGTGTTGGGTAAAGAGTACACAAGCAAAAATTGTATTTCATGTTTCATTGTATTTCATTTCACAAGGAGCTGACGGTGACATATTATTGTTTCAATAGATCTTAGTTCCATTCAAAAGCAGTGCAACTGGTTCTCATTTCTGCTTCAGCATTTTGGGGGTGGGAGTTAGTACAATTTGATTATTCTGTCATCTAGATTCATACTTCCTCATTGTTGGAGAGCCCTCAAAAGCAGACAGTCAAATGGCTTGTTATTTTCGGAATCCCTCCAACTTTGCAACTTTTCATATCTGTAAATGTTACTGTTCCCAGACTTCCTGATACCCCATTCCCTATGATCTGCCAAAATAGTAAGCTGTATGTTTTGATTACATTAGTGTCTGTAAATTTGCAGTTGATATCAGACTCACCTGAAATACTAGTCTAACTTTTTTTTTAGAGCTTTTAGTTCTTCTTTTTTAAAAACTATTTAAAAATGTGTCTAATCGACTCATTTTAATTTGCATTCAAATTAAAGATATCAAGTATATTTTGTGTTTTCAAGGCTGAAAAGAAATTTGTGACCTTTTTTAGTATGCCATATACTACTAATTTCCAATTTTAAATATGGTTGGATGACATGTCCCGATTATTGGCTGGGAAAGACTTCTTGTGCATACCATATATTTAAAATGATTTTGCTAGGACAGTTCCCTCCACCCCACCTCAACAGGTGAAAATTCATGTGTAAAGGTCCTCCTGCTAGATATGGTGGTATACTGGTATATTTCTGTCAGTTTAATAAAGCTTTTTATACAGTCTGTCGTTGTCCTGTTTTTCCCTAAGAAGTATCTTTGACCATTTTGCTGTGAGCTTAAATTCTTTTGTTTCCAAGATTTGTGTGCCCTGGGTGTGTAGAATGGACAGATATGGAGTGTCTGACTTGACCAGTGGATATAAGCCAGCTCACTCCCTGTTTTTAGGGAGTCCTGGCCTTTAAGAGGCTCTGTGAAATCTTGTGGTTAAAAGGAAAGCAAGGGGATCCTGTTTAACTTCTCCTGAAGAGGCATTTCCATTTGACCAGGCTACCTTTTCCAGTGGAATACCTATTAACTTCCCTACAACCAGTGCTCTGAAGAATGCTGCTGTAAGTTATTCCATGTAGATAGTTTCTGATTTAAATGAGATCCAGAGAAATGAATATGATTGATGTTGCTTCAAATAATCCATCAATATATCTAATTTCTTGTTAAAGGAAACTTAACACGTTCTATTTGTGAAGTTGGCTTCTGTTACACTATTTGCTCAACTTTGATGTGCAGAAGAAAGTACAGTATGAAGCAAGGGAAGCTGAATATACAGAACAAAAATGGGCGTAGCTCTCAATAGCGTGACTAAAGTCATAGATCATAGGTGTGTTATAGAGCCAAAGAAGTTGACATTTTGGGGTTATGGAGAGGTGTTGTAAATTACTTGCTCTTGTAGTTGAAGGTTGAATATCTCAGGGATGTTAGTCTACTAACTATATGCAAAACGTATCTCTCTAACTCTCTTTTTTGCCTATGGATTTAAATAACACAAATATGAAAATTCAAATTTTCTTTTTCCGGCTTTTGCCACACACTCTTTCAGATAATACCATACAATTATAATTTAAGTGAAAAAAATTCACAAAAGTCAGTTATCAAAGGAGGGAAAATTTGTGGGTTTACTCCCTTGTGAGCAATATTTGCCTCTTTCATTTATTTTGGAAGCTATTTCTGTCAGCCACAAATTAAGGAATAATGAAAACACAGTTGTTGCTTGTTTTTATAACCTAGATAATTTCACCTGAAGAGAGTTGGTATGTTGGGCATGGCCTATTTACCTTTCAGATTAAAGACAGGATGTGCTAAGCAAAAAGAAAATAAAGTCCAGCCATATTCTTGCCTTTTTTCCATTACATTTTGTTGGCTCTAAGTAGTTAGAACTCCTTTTACTATTCATTTCTCTGAGCCAAATGGATTTTCCAATGTTTAAAAAAGTGAGAGGAAATATAAAACTTTTTAGACCAAACCCTTCTTTTCCTTGGAGCCTGTTGGGTGACCTTTAAGAAAAGCCCACATGTGGCCTGGGGGAAATTTATAGTTTGGGAAGATTGCAGTGTGTATGTTGGATGTACGTATGCACCCGCATGGGTTGGTAACTTCCAGATGAAGCAAAGAACACACAATGGTTCTTTTCTGGATTCTAACTGATATCTGCATTAGGAGAAAGGAATGCTGTTTTTTTCACTCCTACCTCCATTCTTTCCTTCCACTATCACATGGTAGTGAAGAGTACAGATATAGAGATAGGAAGACCAGGCTCAAGTTCAGGCTTTGCCACTTAATGGTGTGTGACTTTAGGCAAAGTCTTTGGCTTCTCTGAACCTTAGTTTCCTCACCTATAGAATGGAGGGAGGTAGGGGATGATAATACCCATCTCAGAGTGTTACAGAGGTGTCTAATGAGAGGTCTAGTAAAGGAACTGGTGCAGTGCCAAGCCTCTAGTAAGCTGGCATTGTATTATTCCTTTCTTTCCTCAGTTCTACCAGTATGCTGAGCTGTTCTGTTTTTCAGAAATGTTTCAGAGAAAGGAAATTCTGTAAAGACTTGACCAGCTTCCTCATTAGCCTTTTATAAAAGGTGGTTGTATAGGTGATTTCCACCTCACTACTGTTCCGAGACACCTACACACTAGC